CCTGCTGGGCCTCCAGGAATGAGATTGTGTCTTTCCCCAGGGGCTGGCCTGGCCTTCAGGCCTTGGGGGGGGGGTGATGCTAAACCCTGGGAAATAGGACAGCCATGGGCTTCTGGTGTCACCGGCACAGTCCCCTCCCCCTCTGCAGGCTCCTCCTCCCCCTCCCCCTCCCCTGCTTTTGTTTCTCTGCCTCCACAGCCTCTCTCTCCCTCTCTCCTTCCCTCCCTCTCTCTCCCCCTCTCTCTGTCTCTCTCTGCTGTGGCCCCCCTCCCCCTGGCTCCCCTTGCAGGTCTTCACACTACAGTCAAGCAGTGATTCTATTTCCTCTGTCTCCCTGTCTTTTCCATTCCTTTTCTCTCCACCCCGGGGACCAGGGTGTCCTCGTAGGAGGCTGAGGCGTATCCCCTCCCCTGGCGGCCCCTCATCTCACAGCCCAGGCAGTGCTGAGCCCAGGGCGGTCTGAGTTCCCCTTTCTCTGGGACACTGTAGACAGCTTTTGTTCTGAGCCCACAGGACAAGGGGTGGGAGAGAGGCCTTGCCCTGAGAAGCCACGTGCCGCAAGAGGGCCCAGGCAGATGACAAGAAGGGCCCTGAGGTGTGGGGCCCCGCCCTGGCGCACAGGTGGGGCTCGGCTCCTGCCCTGGGCAGCCTGTGCCAGGATGTTAAAAAGGAGGGCTGTGGCCTGTGAGGAGTGGGGTGGCGGCGCAAAAAGATGGCCCAAGAGGAGGAGGGATGATGGCATCCAGGTTGCAAAGCCCCCAGCTTCCCAACCCCCGGCCCCATGTGAAATAGGCGGACAAACACGCGTGTGAAACGCTGGAAAATTAGATTCCCTCTGTCTTCTTTCTCCGGGCCTCTGTCTCAACAAACACAGCTCCTCCTCCACACACACACAGACACACAGACACAGCCTGCCTGGCTGCCCCGGCGAACACTCAGCCCCTTCAGCATGCACTTACAGGGTGATATGTGTCGGTTAAGCAGGGCCTGACCGGCGGGTGGGTTAATCAAGGCTCCCAGGAAGAAGTGCTTTCTGCGTGGAGACCCAAGGAGAGAGGGGCTCTAGCTGCTCTGGAAGGGGACCCCCATTGCCCAGTCCGGCTGGAGCCGTGGACCAGCCAGACAGGAGCAGGTCTGAGGCTTCGCGTTTGTCCTGGGTCTGCCCGTGCATTCCTGCTGGCTCAGGAGCCTGAGGAGGGAGGGCTCAGAGCCAAGACATGGCCCCCCAGGTTGCACAGACCACGGAGCGGAGCTGCAGGTACCGAGCCTGGATGGGCCCAGGTGCTGACCCAGTGCTGCCCTCGCTGCTGGGGCACTGTTTTATCTTTTAGTTCCCCAACCAGGGATCAAACCCATGCCCCCTTCATTGGAAACAGAGTCTTCAGTACTGGACTGCCAGGGAAGTCCCCTCTTAGGGCGCTCTTGAACTTGCTAGTTACACCTTGGATTCCCTGGCGTGGAATGTGGTGCCCTCCACCGCCCACCCCCACGGGGTTGTTTTAGGATTAAAAGGCTTGCCTAGGACCTGCTGAGCGTTTGTGGTTAGTTGTTGGCAGCTCTGTTCCTGCACTTGAGCACAAACACCTCGAGAGCAAGGACTGTGGGCAGGTCCGCTTCTACAGCCAGGCACGGCTGTAGTCCTCAGCCCCGAAGTAAAACCACCAGCCTGTTCCCGTGGGAGGGGGATGCATGGTGGCCGGGGGCAGGTTCAGCTTGCACCTGGGTTCCTGGTGTGAGCCTTGGGAGTGGCCCTTTTGCTCTTAGAAGGTTGCTCCTAACAGGGCTGGAATGTTACATGACCACCCTCCTTGGGGGGGGGGCCACCCCAGACATGTGCTTCCAGGGGCAGGCGCTCATCTGCCGATGTATGTGTGTGCTCAGTTATGTCTGACTCTGCGACCCCATGGACTGTAGCCCTCCAGGCTCCTCTATCCGTGGATTTTCCAGGCAAGAATATGGAGTGAGTTGTCATTTCCTCTTCCAAGGGATCTTCCCTACTCAGGAATCAAACCCACGTCTCCTGCATTTTCAGGCGGGTTCTTTACCACTGTACCACCTGAGAAGCCCTCATCTGCCAATGGAGTGACGTTATGGGTTTCTTTGCTCCCATTCCCTTCAGGTGCTAGAAGAGGGGTGAGGCCAGGTACTGGGGCCTGGAGAAAAGCACAGGGGATATGGAATCTAGAAAAATAGCACTGATCCACCTATTTGTAGGGCAGCAATAGAGACACAGAAATAGAGAACAGACTTGTAGAAATGAGAGGGTGGGATGATTGAAGAGAGTAGCCTGGAAACATATACATCCCCATGGGTAAAACAGGAAGATAGTGGGAATTCGCCATATGACTCAGGGAGCCCAATCCTGGGGCTCTGTGACAACTTAGAGGGGTGGGATGGGGTGGGGAGGTGGGAGGGAGGAGACATCTGTATACTTAAGGCTGATCCATGTTGTTGTATGGCAGAAACCAACACAACATTATAAAGCAATTATCCTCCCATTAAAAATAAATTAGGTGGGATTTTGGGGGGAAAAGAAAGAAAAGCACAGGGGAGGGACTGACATCGCCGACACGCTCATCTCATGTCCTCAGCACCCCAGGATTGAGGCATCACCTCCCCCTCGGCAGAGATGAGGAAACTGAGGCTCAGGGCATGACAGGATGAGCCTGAACCAGAAATGCAAAGTCCAGATCTGAAATCGGAATCCAGGCCAAGTCCCAGCACAGGCTGCGCCGCTCCGGGTCAGTCCCTCCCCTCTGCTGGCCCTTCCTTTGGGGAAGTCTGGAAAAAATGCTGAGCTGCCTGTTTTCTCAAGCCCACAGCTGACAGGAGGGCTGCCGCTGGGCACTGCTGGGCGCTGGGTCAGATGGGCTGCTGTCCTCCGAGGCAGTGAGGCTCCCCGCCCGGGGAGGCAGGGGGGTTGCAGTGGGCACAGCAGTCTCCTCTGGACACCACGGGGGACCTCATTGCCTTTCATCTCCAAGCACAGGGCCCCACCCAGAGCAGGGATTTAGCAAATTATTTGTTGCAATGATCAAATGAGTCTTAGTCTCTAGAGGCTGATGTAGAATCACCCAAACCTTTGATGAATTTGGGACCCCAGAATGGAGAAATCTCTCAGGTCTGTGGTTTTCATCCGAAAAGTCTGCTTCTTTGAGGACTTCCCTGGTGGTCCAGTTAAATTTATTTTGGCCATGCCATGCAGCTTGGGGGGGGGGGGGAGGGTGTTAGAGTTCCCCCGACTAGGGATGGAGCCCTGCATTGGGTTCCCCCCTGCATTGGGAATGCAGAGTCTTAACCACTGGACCCCCCAGGGAAGTCCCCCTCCCCCATTCTTGGATGGGGAAACTGAGATGCAGAAGTGACTTTGCTTAGTCACTTGTATGTGACAGAGCTAGGACTTTAGGCCAGGCTGCCTGACTCCCAGCTGAGTGTTCTTAATAATGCGGGGTGGGAGGGTGAGCTCTCTCAATCAGGGCTAGCCGCCCTCTCCCAACCCCCAGCCTGTTCCAGAGGTTTTCCTTCCATCTGAGCCCCCTTCCACGAGAGCCCTGCTTTAAGCTTAATAGTTTAATCTTTAGCGTCCATTTCAAGGAGGCTAAAATTCCTCTCTGGGGTGTTTTATTTTTAGCCAGCTTCAGGAAGGGGAAGCTCCTCTGGCCTGTTGGGGGGAGGGAGACACCGGCCGGGAGCCTGCTTCCTGAGGAAGGGCCGCTGCCATGCACCTGACCCTGGCCCCAGAGGAGAGCCGGCGAGGCAGGCAGGAGCCACCCCAGTCCTGTCTTCCCCCTTCCTCATGGAGCGCCTCTGTTGTGCTGTGCTGGGCACCGAGCAGGGGGGGCAGGGTGCAATCTGATGAGTACCCCAGGCCAGGGAGGAGGCCCTCCTACATCCCGGCTGTCAGGGAGAGCTGGGAAGCAGCTGCGGCAATGTCAGGGAAGCCTGGGGAACTGGTGGGAGGAGCCAGGAGCTCAGTGGGGCTGGGGAAAGGGCACTGGGTGGGAGAACCCTGTGCAAAGTGCCAAGGGCACTGGTGTGGCGGGTCCCCTAGGAAGTCAGGAAGCCGACGCCCATGCTTCGGACCCGGACGGGTGGGCTCAGTGGCTTTTTTAGAAGCACCTGTTGGATCAGAGAATGTGGCTGTGAAGCTGGGAGCTGATTTTAGCATTCACTTCAGCCAGTCTTCTCCAGCTTGTTAGCCATCACAGACTCCTTTCAAATCAGATCTTTCATGAAATTCCAGGGTACATATCAGACACAAGATATATTTTAATCGGTGTAAACTTAGGTCGTTAAATGTGCAACATTTAGCTAATCAAGAGCAATGACCTGTTGTGCAAGGCACAGTCATTTAACATCAGGGCTGACAGGTGGTAACTACTGTCTGAGCTTGGCCTCGGCACCTAATTTATTTTTGTGTGTTGCCTTGTTCTTGCCCAATATATTTAAAAACCCAAAACACCACATTCACATGGCCAAGGAAATGGTGACAGTTGTTTAACAGCTCACTGTACAGACTCAAGGTCAGTGTAAAATTAATTATACCTTGGCCACAAAGCCATTGTGTGGGGACAAGGTATATATTTCATTTGAGTAAAGATGGGGTTTTTTAACATCAGTTTTTAAAAGAGCAGAATCTTTAGTGTTTGCCATTTTGGATCCGATTCTTTGGGTAACTCCTGTACCACTGGGGAAACCCAGCCTCCCTATTTCACAGATGGGAAGACTGAGGCCAGCAAGGGGGCAGGGCTTACCCAGGACCCCCACAGGGAGATGGAGGCTAAGGAAGATCAGACACACAGAGGATGTCATGGCTCCCCGTAATTACCCTATGCCCTGGTCCCAAGGCAGGAATAGAAAGATGTTGGGGGCAGACACAGTCAGACTTGGGGAAGCCCTCGCTGAGTGTGTATCCGTCGTCCGCCTGGTAGCCTTGAGCTGGCGGTGCTGACATTCCCTTCTCTTCCCGTAGCGATGCCCTCCTAGCCAGCCGCCGCGGGATGGAGGGCTTCATGGACTCAGGGACACAGACTGATGCCGTGGTGGTGCTGTCTTTGGCTCAGGCCGCCGTGCTGGGCCTGGTCTCGGAAAATGAGCTCTTTGGAGCCACCATAAGCGCCGAAGCCTTCTACCCGGACCTGGGGCCGGAGCTGTCCGGGGCGGCCATAGGGGAGCCCCGGCCCCCCGGCCCCGACGTCTACCAGCTGGCCTGCAACGGGAGGGCCCTGGAGGAGCCGGCCGAGGAGGAGGTGCTGGAGGTGGAGGCAGCCTTCGAGAAGCACACCCGGCGGAAGACGCGGCCGCCCGTGCGCCTGGTGCCCAAGGTCAAGTTTGAGAAGGTGGAGGAGGAGGAGGAAGTCTACGAGGTGTCGGTGCCCGGCGGCGATGACAAGGATGCCGGCCCAGCAGAGACCCCTGCCGAGGCGGCCGGCGGCGGCTGCGAGGCCCTGGTGCAAAGCAGCGCAGTCAAGATGATCGACCTCAGCGTCTTCAGCCGCAAGCCCCGGACGCTGCGGCACCTGCCCCGCGCCCCGCGGCCGGAGCTGGACGTAGCCCCTTTTGACCCCCACTTCCCCGACCCGGCCCGGGACGCCTTCCCCGAGCCCAGCATGGCGCTGCCCAGGCCGGAGGCCCTGCCCGTGGAGTGCGGCTTCGAGCCGCCGCACCTGCCCGCGCTGAGCGACCCCGAGCCCCCCACCATGGAGTCGCCGGAGCCCGTGAAGCCGGAGCAGGGCTTTGTGTGGCAGGAGGCGGGCGAGTTCGAAGCGGACACGGCCGGCTCGACGGCGGAGCGCCACAAGAAGGCCCAGCTGGACCGGCTGGACATCAACGTGCAGATCGACGACTCGTACCTGGTGGAGGCCGGCGACCGGCAGAAGCGCTGGCAGTGCCGCATGTGCGAGAAGTCGTACACGTCCAAGTACAACCTGGTGACGCACATCCTGGGCCACAACGGCATCAAGCCGCACTCGTGCCCGCACTGCAGCAAGCTCTTCAAGCAGCCCAGCCACCTGCAGACGCACCTGCTGACGCACCAGGGCACCCGGCCACACAAGTGCCAGGTGTGCCAGAAGGCCTTCACGCAGACCAGCCACCTCAAGCGCCACATGCTGCTGCACTCGGAGGTCAAGCCCTACAGCTGCCACTTCTGCGGCCGCGGCTTCGCCTACCCCAGCGAGCTCAAGGCCCACGAGGTGAAGCATGAGAGCGGCCGCTGCCACGTGTGCGTCGAGTGCGGCCTGGACTTCTCGACGCTGACGCAGCTCAAGCGCCACCTGGCCTCCCACCAGGGCCCCACCCTCTACCAGTGCCTGGAGTGCGACAAGTCCTTCCACTACCGCAGCCAGCTGCAGAATCACATGCTCAAGCACCAGAACGTGCGGCCCTTCGTGTGCACCGAGTGCGGCATGGAGTTCAGCCAGATCCACCACCTCAAGCAGCACTCGCTCACCCACAAGGTAAGGGCGCCGTGCGCCACCCCGCACCCTGGCCAGGCCCGGCCCCTCCGAGCTCCCTGCCGGCCACACCCCCCCAGGGCCTCCTGAGTCTCTGCTTTCTCTTCCTGCCGAGCTTTCACCCAGGGCTTCCCATACTGCTGGATGAGACCGCTTAGGTGGTGAGCGTTTCTTTCTTTAATATTTGTGTGCTCAGTCACTTGAGTCATGTTCAACTCTTTGCAATCCCCGTGGACTGTAGCTCTCCAGGCTCCTCTGTCCACGGGATTCTCCAGGCAAGAATAATGCAGTGGGTTGCAGTTTCCTCCTCCAAGGGATCTTCCTGACCCAAGGATCAAACTCACCTCTCCTGCATCTTCTGTATTGCAGGCAGATTCTTAACCACCAGACCACCAGGGAAGTCCCAAACGTTTATTATTTTTATTGTTATATTTATTTTGATGTTGTTGTTCAGTTTCAGTTGTGTCTAACTCCTTGCAACCCCATGGACTGCAGCACACCAGGCTTCCCTGTCCTTCACCATCTCCCAGAGTTTGCTCAGATTCATGCCCATGGAGTCAGTGATGCCATCCAGTCATCTTATCCTCTGTCGCCCCCTTCTCCTCTTGCCATCAATGTTTCCCAGCATCGGGGTCTTTTCCAGTGAGTTGGGTTTTTGCATCAGGTGGCCAAAGCATTGGACCTTCAGCTTCAGCATCAGTCCTTCCAATGAATATTCAGGGTTGATTTATTTTAGGATTGACTGTTCTGATCACCTTGCTGTCCAAGGGACTGTATACGACTACTGGGAAAACCATAGCTTTGAGTAGATGGACCTTTGTCAGCAAAGTGATGTCTTTGCTTTATTTTGATGAGTGTTAGGAAAAAGGTGTAATTGAAATTAGTTTTTGTTTATTTGAATTTTGTTTTTTGTGTGTATGTGTGGTTTGGGGGATTTTTTTTTTTTTTTAAGATATGAACTGTTTTTCTATTTAACAACCAAAGTCATGTTTCTGAATGTGGTTTCTCCTTGCTAATCCTGACACCTGCAATTCAGATGCAGGTGAGCAGAGAGGACACATCTGCCACCCTGCTGGGCCCCCTTAGGTCAACAGCAAACACTTGGGGAGACTTGCTGGGCTGCAAGCCTGGAGCTCTGCAGGGGCTTCAACCCCAGTGTCCCAGGTGCTCTGAAATTAGTTTTTTAAATAGTAAAACTTTATTCATTTTAAAACATTTGAACTGAAGTGTTTGAAGAATCCCTGCAGGACCCAAGGAGCACAGTTGGAGAATCGCTGATTTTCCATCTCACAGCTAGGAGGACCGAGGCCAGAGAGAGGCCAGGATGCCATGGGGAAGTAGATGAGATGCTCAAGAACACAAAGGGCTCCCCTTGCCTCTTGTAATTACTCAAGTCTATCAAAAGCATGTGACTCTCTTTTAAGCAAATACTAAATATATTTCATTGTAGAAGGGAGTGAGGGACTTCCCTGGTGGTTAAGAATCTACTTTCCAATGCAGGGGACACAGGTTTGATCCCTAGTTGGGGAACTAAGATCCCACATGCCAAAGGGCAACTAAGCCCACAGGCCACCACTACTGAGCCTGTGTGCTCTGGAGCCCATGTGCTACTTCATGGACCTGATGCAGCCAAATAAATATTTTTTTTTAAAAAAGCTTTAAAAAGGGAATTAATGTAAAGAAAAATATTTGTTATGGAGAAGTACAATTGGTTCTAAATATTATGAAATGAGGCAAAGTGGCCTCATTTGTGTGGAGACAGATGGTAGAGCAACACTGTCCTTGTCCACTGTGTCTCTAGACATCGCCTTGACCAGTTCTCCCCTACCTTCCTCCCTCCCTGGAGGGTACTAGCCACCCTGACTTTCAGCCAACGTCACCTCCTTTGAGGGGCCTTTACATCCAGACAGGCTGGAATGAGGCCTCTAAGGTCCCACCATCCCACTCTGGCACTTGGCCTGTCCTGAGGTTTCCACCCAAATCCAACCAGCTTCACACTTTGAAGCTGAGTGTGCATGGAGCTGGGGCTTCCCAAGTGGCGCTAGTGGTAAAGAACCCACCTACAATGCAGGAGACATAGTAACTCCGATTCGATCCCTGGGTCAGGAAGATCCCCTGGAGGAGGGCATGGCAGCCCACTCCAGTATTCTTGCCTGGAAAATCCTATGGACAGAGGAGCCTGGCAGGCTACAGTACATGGGGTCACAAAGAGTCGGACATGACTGACCAATAGAGCACGCATGTGCATAGAGCTATCACTCTCCATAGCTGTGGCCTTAGAGACGCTCCAGGTTGAACTCATGTCCTTGTCTCTCACAGTGGACGTTTCAGTGAGTAGGGGAGAAATACCCTGCCAAGGCAAGAATCCAGCCTGTCCCACCCCTGGGAACTTTTTTTTTTTAAATATATATATTTTTTAATTTATTTGGCTGCACTGGGTCTTAGTTATGGCATATAAGATCTAGTTCCATGGCCAGGGATCAAACCACGATCCCCTGCATTGGGAGTGCTGAGTCTTAGTCACCGGAATACCAGGGAAGTCCCCTTGGGAACTTTTTCTGCTGCAACAGAGATGACTGCAGATTTCATTGCAGGTGCTCCTCCATTCAACTGGTGTAGCTACCTAGACTATAATGTTAAGAAGGATTCTGAAGCTGAAGCTTGCCTCAGCCCTAAAACCAGATGATTGATTATTTATAAAGAGCAATAAGTACACGTGCTGTCTGCTTGCCATCTTTCTCCTCTCTTTGTAGACTTAAAAATCCCCACAAGTCCACAAAGTGTTAAAGAAAGAAATAAATAATACTGTGAAGAAAAGGGGAAAGCAAAAATCAAAGGCTGATAAAATTGAAAACATTCCTGTGATCAGCCTCAGTGTATGCAGTGCACACATCATGCACGAAGTCAGCTCCCCAAGGGCAGGGCCCCCTGGTGGTCACACACGTCACCTTCACTGTGTCAAGCCGGCACACACAGGAGACAGTGTCTGCCGAGAAATAGACCCTGGGACCATGGGGGTCGCAAAGAGTCGGACACGACTAAGAGGCCAAGAAACAGCAAACAGCAGGAAGTCATTTCCCAGAAGCCCTGATGCTCGGGTCCGCACGAACACACTCCCAGAAGCTGTGTCCATCATGTGGTCCTGACCATGGCTCCCGCCCACCCCCACCCCCCCTCCACAGGGCGTGAAGGAGTTCAAGTGCGAGGTGTGCGGCCGGGAGTTCACCCTGCAGGCGAACATGAAGCGGCACATGCTGATCCACACCAGCGTCCGGCCCTACCAGTGTCACATCTGTTTCAAGACCTTCGTGCAGAAGCAGACCCTCAAGACCCACATGATTGTCCACTCGCCCGTGAAGCCGTTCAAATGCAAGGTACCGGACTCTTGGGCCCCGGGGCAGGACTTGCTCACAAGTGGCCCTGGCATGTGATCACAGGAGGCAGGACCTAGGCTGGGCAAAAGTCCCCCACCCCACCCTACCCCACCCCCCATTGGCTGAAATTGCTGGGTTCTGGGGGGTGGCGGGTGGGTAGTGAGGGTTGAGGTCCTACTAGCTACTGAATTGGCTACTTTTCTTTGGCCACACTGAGGCTTGTGGGATCTTAGTTCCCCAGCCAGGGATGGAACCCAGGCCCTTGGCAGTGAAAGTGCAGAATCCTAACCACTGGACCTCCAGGGAATTCCCCTTAGTTGCCTTTTGAGAGTTGGGGGCGGGGGTGAAGGTTGCAGTGCAGCCTCAGGGAAGGAGCCCAGGCCAGAGACTCAGTGCTGTCGGAGCTCCCAGCCCTGGGTCTCAGCCTTGGCCCGGGGAGTGTGGGGCAGACCCGCAGGAACGGTGACCTGCAAGCAGGGGCCCAGTCCTCGGCCTCTGGGGTCACATAGGAAAGGACAAAGGGGATGCGATTCGGGCCCAGCCATGGAGGCGGAAGCGGCTGGGGGCTGGGGTAGGACAAGCCCCCAGGCTGACGATGCCGGGCTGGGGCGGGGTGTGTTCCAGGTTTGCGGGAAGTCCTTCAACCGCATGTACAACCTGCTGGGCCACATGCACCTTCACGCGGGTAGCAAACCCTTCAAGTGCCCATACTGCTCCAGCAAGTTCAACCTCAAGGGCAACCTGAGCCGGCACATGAAGGTGAAGCACGGCGTCATGGACATCGGCCTGGACAGCCAAGGTGGGTGGGCCACACGCCGTGGACGGAGCAGGAGCGGTCCTGTCATGGCGCACTCAGGAGCCTCTTGTCCAGTGAGGGGAGCGGGGAGGCTGGCCAGGCCCGAGACCTCACTGGGGTGGGCTCAGGTCTGGAGAGGGGGCTCCCCGGAGGGCCATCAGCGTGATAACGATGCGACATTTATGTATTCTCCAAAGGATTTACGTGGGCTCACATAAACAATAATAAAAAGAATATTTGTTGAGTGCTGTGTGCCAAGCCTTTATTAACTCATGTGACCCTCACTGTGGGGTTGGCTCTGTAATTATCACCATTGTACAGATGCAGGCATTGAAGGATAGAGAAGTTAGAGAACTCATGCAAGATCATCACTGAGACAGGGCATTTTTAACACATTATTTGACCGGAGATGTGTGAATATGTCTTTTATTACACAGACGTTATTGACTGGAGACATCAATATGTTTTTAGAGAGTAATACAATTAACATCACCGTGCAAAGTTATTAGAGCTTAAAATTGATCAAGGGTTCATTATACAATTTACAATTGTCATCACTCACATTTGCTCTGTTAGACTTTTGTTCCAACCTTATGTATGATATAAACACAAGTTTATTACCATAAAATTTCAAAAATGAAGCATTATGAAATTTTGAGTAAAACAAGAATTTTTCAGTGGATTTTATGCAGTTACTTCCTGATTGTCTAAGCAACATACATACTAGTGTCTCAGAAGATGATAGTTCTTCAGAATATAGTTCTGATTCAGACGATGTATTAGACCAACAAAAAGACAAAAAAAAAAAAACCCTTAGTGTTTGATTTGGATACTCAAAGTGAAAATGAAACTCATGGTGCTGGAGAAGACTTTATAGGTGTGTCAGGTATAACTATTGAATGTAATAATCTGCAAAGTGTTCGTGAAATAACAGAATTAATATTTGGCCAAAATAAAAATCACTGGTCAAAGGCATTAGTTTCTGCAAAAATCCCCTAGTCGATAATGAGTTTAAAAATGGATGGGAAGGAAAGTAACAAAAGGGAAAATGCCAACTGAAAGATAAGGGAGAGCCAGGTGAGGTCACAACCCCAAGTACAAGTAGGAGGTTCTATGGGCATGCAGAGGGGAGCCCTGAGCTTCCCAGTGGCCAAGGCAAAAAGGGTAATACAGTCAGTCACACTCTTCCTAGTGCCTGGCGGAAGGAATGCAGCCCACATACTTAGGAGACTTTTGCTTACCTCTGCAGTTGGCAGAGGTTTCATTGGCTGTGGGTTATAACATCCCCACGTGTTAGTGATGACCTCTCCACTCAACACTGGTCAATAGTGGAAGCACCTTATTCTTTCTGGCCTCATGGGGAGGAGACACTTTAGAGATTCTACAGGAAGGAGTAGACAGCCACACTTTCAGAAGGTTCCTTGTATAGTCTGGAGCTATTTGATTTTCTGGAGTTCCTTCCAAGACGCATAGCTAGGAATGTGTGTCGACAATCACTGGGTGGGCTGACTTGCCGTGTGAGGTTACTCACAAGGAGCCAATCAGATGCTGGGGTGTGGTGGAAATAACCCTGATTTAGCTTTGGAACAGTGAGTGGCCTGGAGTTTTCTGGTAGAAACAAGTGTCCTCAGTTTTCAGTTCTCCCTGGGTGAGGATGAAATGCTGTTGGCTGCATATAGATGCTCTGTTGCAGCTTCTTTCTTAGTATGTGGTTCTAGGACCAGCAGTGTTGGCATCACCTGGGATCTTCTAGAACTGCAGACTCACCTCCACCCCAGACTTGCTGAATTAGGATCTGAATTTCAGAAAGATCCCTCAGTGATTTGTTTGCACTGGAAAACTTGAGAAGCATTGAATGAAGTGATGGTTTTCAAATTTGAGCCAGGGAGCATGAGAATCACTGGAGGCTTGTTAAAGTGCTGAGTCTCACCTCCCAGAGCTTCTCATTCTGTAGGTCTGGAGTGGGGTCAGACCATTTGCATTTCCAAGTTCCCAGGTCAAAGGGAAGCTGCCAGTCAAGAAACTCACATTGGGAACCTCTGATCTAAGCTCTAGAGAACCGTTCTTAAACTTGGCTACACATTGGAATCACTTAGAGAAGTTTTAAAGTGCTGATGCCTGAGTCTCAGCCACAGAGATTTGAATGTAATTGATCTGGCGTGTGGCCCAAGATCTGGATTTTTTTTTTTTAAGCACCTTAGGTAATTCTATGCACAGTAGAGTCTGAGAGCCATTACTCTAGTGCATCTGCTAGGAAGCAAACCCTCCAGGAAGGACAGAGGACTGGTCCTTTGAAAGTAGCTGTCCCTACAAACCTCCCTCCCAGGATGTGGCTAAGGCATAAGCTCTTTCTATCTGAGGTCAGCAACCAAGGATGCCTATGGTGGCTTTCTTCCTGATTGTACCAGATGACAGACAGTAAAGCAGGGATTGGCATGGGAATGACTGGGGCCCAAGTCACTCATATATAACCTTGGTCTGAGAAGCTTAGGCTTGATCCTGTGCAGGAGGAAGGTAGCATACATTCTAGATAGAGCTATCCAATAAACTATAGGACTGTAATTTAAGAGGTAGATTAATGTTTTTGCAAAAAAAATAAAAATAGTACAAATGGTTCCCTGGGGCCAACTGGAACTGCCAAATAGAGTTAATCAAAGAAGTTGGTAGGGTAACAAGAGACTCAAAGATAGAAATTTTTCCCGGGTCTTTATTTTGTTGTTGTTGTTGAGTTGCTAACTTGTGTCCAACTCTTTGCGACCCCATGGACTGCCACACACCAGGCTTCCCTGCCCTCCACTATCTCCTGGAGTTTGCTCAAATTCATGTCCAGAGTCGATAATGCTATCCAACCATCTCATCCTCTGTCCCCCTCTTCTCCTGCCCTCAATCTTTCCCAGCATCACGGCTCTTTGCATCAGGTGGCCAAAGTATCAGAGTTTCAGCTTCAGCACCAGTCCTTCCAATGAATATTCAGGGTTTATTTCCTTTAGGATTGACTGGTTTCATCTCCCTGAAGTCCAAGGGACTCTCAGGAGTCTTCTCCAGCACTACAGCTTGAAAGCATCAATTCTTCAGCCTTTATGTAGCTTATTTTTAATCAGCTATATGATAGGAAAGTGTGGCACTAGGATTTGAGGAAGAAACAGCCTAGGGTCTGTAAGATGTGGTGCAGTTGACCTTGTGTCAAATGCCATGGACCCAAGTAACAGACACCCTATTCAGACCACCTTGAACAATAAGGAAATAAATTAAGAAATGACTTGCTGTCCAGGTTATCTGCAAAGTTGACTGATTCAGCCCCTCAGCAATGACAGGGTGAGACTCCCTCTGTCCACAGCATTGGCTGTGATTTTCCTCATGGTCACAGAATAGCTGCCAGTGGTCTTTAGGGCAACATGCTTCCTTGTTCACCTCCATTGGAAGAGCAAGAGCCTGCTGTCCTTTGCTCTATGAAACCAATGAGAACATTCTCAGAACTCACTAGTAGGCCTTTCCTCATGATTCATTGGCCAGAATTGGGTCCCATTCCTCATCCTGAGCCACTCATTGGCAAAGAGTGGGATTACCGTTCAGTCAGTGGTTCTCAATGGGGGACGTTTATTTGACCATGGCCAAGAGACATTTGGGGCTTCCCTGGTGGCTCAGATGGTCAAGAATCTGCCTGCAATGCAGGAGACTCAGGTTCGATCCCTGGGTCAGGAAGATTGCCTGGAGGAGGAAACTTATTCCAGTATTCTTGCCTGGAGAATCATATGGACAGAGGAGCCTGACGGGCCGCAGTCCGTGGGGTCGCAGAGTCAGGCACGACTGAGCAACTAACACACAAGAGACAGTTGGGTATCACAGCTGGGGTGATGTTATTGGTATCTAGCTGGCAGAGGCCACAGATGCTGTGAAACATCCTACAATGCACAGGCCAATCCCCCAAAACAAAGAATCATGGCCCAAGGTGTTAATAATGCCAAGGTTGAAAAACCATGCCTTAGACTCATCAAGGCTATCCCTGGGCTGGGTTCTATTTCTTCCCAAACACAATCGCATCTCCTAGGGGCAGAATGCACACTGGGACTCAGCCAGTCCCTGCCAGCAAGCCTCCCAGTGTCCTCAGGGCCTCCCTCCCTCCAAAACTCATCAGAAGGCAGCCCCACCCAGGCTTCCACCTCTGTGGAGTTATCTATCTGGTTTTGTTCCAACAGTAAGGGGTTTATAAAAGATTTCAATTTGATAAAATGACAGGAGGCCTCTTAAAAGAGTTTTTATCTCATCATCTTTGTTTACCCACCTTGAGTGTTTGGCCTTGGAGAGCAGGGCCAGAGGATACAGCTGGCACCAGGAGAAACAGCCCTTTGAGGTAGTCACAAGTAGATCAAAACAGCACTTGCTGGGTTTTCCTGGGCAAGTTGATTAACCTCTCTGAACTTGCTTTTGCTCTCCTAAATGGGGTCACTGTGAGCATTCAGGAGATGATACATGTGAAGTGCCTGGCATACAGTAGGTGCCAAATAAGTGGTGTGGCCAACATGGTACAGCACAGGAATCTTTCATATGGGAAAGGGGATTAATGAGTCATGTGCAAAGAATAAATAAGGTTTTAGTGACTTAGGGGGCTTCCCTGGTGGCTCAGATGACAAAGAATCTGCCTGCAAAGCGGAAGACCTGGGTTTGATCCCTCGGTTGGGAAGATCCCCTGGAGAAGAGAACGGCTACCCCCTCCAGTATTCTTGACTGGAGAATTCCATGGACAGAGGAACCTGTCAGGCTACAGTCCATGGGGTGGCAAAAAGTCAGAGAAAACTGAGCTACTTTCACTTTCGTGACTTAGGCGGTGCAAGAGACCCCCCAGAGTTCAAATCCAGGCCTGATCTCACTCGGCATACATTTGAGAAGCCACAGGAGTCAGGTCCCCCCGGAGCAGGGCAGTGGAGGAAACCAATGAGTCTTCTGCAAGCTGTGACTAGGAACCACTCCTTTAGTTCTGCTTCCTGGGTGGGAGTGACCGGCCCTTCCCACAGGCAGCAGCCAAGCTTGACTGTGCCCTCTCTTGCAGACCCCATGATGGAGCTGACGGGCACGGACCCCTCTGAGCTCGACAGCCAGCAGGAAATGGAGGACTTCGAGGAGAATGCCTACGCCTACACGGGTGTGGATGGCAGTGCTGAGGCCAGCGTCCTCACCGAACAGGCCATGAAAGAGATGGCCTACTACAACGTACTATAGCACAGGCCGGGCCGCCCGGAACGGGGCAAGGAGGGCGTGGGGCGTGCGGGCTGCCTCCCTGCAGCTGAGAAGTGAGCTGCCTCCCCACTGTCCTGAGCCCTGCCCTCCCACTTGGTTGTTCGCACCACTAGGGACATGGAGACCAAATGGAGACTGTACTACTGGCCTCAGCTGTGAACCCGGTGCAGGCCCCAGACATGGTGGGGAAAGAAGGATGACCCGGGAGGCCCAGGTCCCCGTCTCCTTGGCCTGCTGCTGCGGGAGAAATGCGGATAGGGGCCGTTTGGGGACAGGCCACTAGGGCAGAGATTCTGTCTCTCCGGGCCCAGCAGAGCTGGGGCGGCCAGTGTTGGGGAGGCCATTCTGATGGCTCCTCAGGGGCCCTGTCACTGGAGGAAGAGATCTCTTGAGCCATGTTGTGTTTCTCCTCTGGACCACCTCCTGCCTCTAGGGATGGTTGAGCTGTTGTGCTGGTTGGTCAGCCCTGCTCCCCACCCTCACCCCCTCCCATCAGCCTGTGGACTGGGAAAAGCCCAGGCCCAGAGCCCCCTTCCCCACCCAGTCCACAGACAGCCAGGCAGGGCCCTCTGCCTTCTACCTCCTGGTGCCCCCCACGCTCTCTGCCAGCCAGGCATGCATGCGGCCCCTAGGAAAGCAGGGTGCAGTCCCAACCCTGGCTACCATCCTCTCCAGAAAGCCCCCATCTCACAGCCCTGTTTGGAAGTGGGTGTCCTGAAAGTGGATTCCAACAAACTGTTACCCAGGGCAGCACGCCAGGGTCCCCCGACAAAGCCAGGACATGCAGTGCGTGAGGCACTTGCTAACAAAGAAAGGTGGCAGCCCCCCCAAGTGAGGGGAATAGGGAGGGGGTCACTGGGGACCAAGAGGGGCTGTCCTCAAGGAGGCCAAGGATGGCCTCTGGGGGGGGAGGGGGGACTGGAGTTTTTCTTATTTAAGGTCTAATAAGTATGCATTTTGAGGACGGGGACAGCCAAGAGTCACCAGAGTCCTAGGAAGAGCAACATATTTTAAAAAGGAAGACCATAGAGAAGGAAAAAAAAAAACAACACTTTTTTTTTTTTGAGCAAAGGTGGGTATTTTGAAGGTAATTTATTTTTTCTTTCCAAATCTGCATCACCTATTCTCTTTTCTGATGGACATCATTTTCTTTTTCCCAGCGGACGCTTTCTTGTGTGCTGTGCGTGCTTTGTGGCCCAGGGACTCGGGGTGGGGATGGAGGGGGTACTTGCTGGTCTGGCCCTGGAGGGTGCGCGCAGCTGTGGGCAGGAAGCCTCAGGAGGCGAGGGCGAGAGGCAGGAGAAGGCAGAGTCTGGCAGGTCCTCCACCCCTGCCTGGCTGCTCCGGCCAGTGACTCGCTCGGTGCCCCTCAGAGCAGTGGCCAGAGCTCCCATCGCCTGCCCGCTCTCAGCCCCTCTGTCCCCAGCTCCTGCCGCGGAGCTGAAAAAGACTGCAGGGTCCCGGGGCGGTAAACGAGCACATTGAGGAATGCCAGGGCACCCAGACTCCCACCCACTCGCCCCCTGAGGCCTCTGTGATGGGGTGGGAGTGGGGGCAGGCAGAGCCATCCGCAAAGGCACAGGAGGTGAGGCCATGGGCCCCGGGGAACAGCTGGGAGGAGGTGCCCCCAGAGCTGTGTCCTTTCTGAAGGACCAATGGCAACCCACTCCAGTCTCCTTGCCTGGAGAATCCCCATGCACAGAGGAGCCGGGCGGGCTTCAGTCCATGGGGTGGCAAAGAGTCGTACACAACTGAGTGACTCACACACACACACACACACACACACACACACACAAGCCAGGCCTCAGGGTGGCTGAGATCAGGATTGGGGGGAGGGGAGGACACAGAAGCCTCAGGATCAGGCAGCCAGGTGCCCCTTCCTTCTCCACTAGAGTTCATGCTGAGCAGCAAATGAGAGGACTGGGGGTCCTCACCCCAAGTGTGGTGACCCCGAGGCCCCCAGCCTCCCAGGTGCCCGCCATGACGACCCTCAGGTGGCAGTGACCCCGTCACTGTAGATGACATTTTCTCCTGCTGAGCAGAAGCGTTGTCCCCTGCAAACTACCTCTTCCCACCACGTCTTTTCCCCCCACCCCAGGTACCAAAAAACAAAAACCCTGTATCTCCTCCTCCTCCTCTTTCCAGCCACCCGGTGGCCTTGGTCTTGGAAGCCCACAGAAGGTCCGGCCCCGAGGCTGGTGCAAGCCTGTCTTCCCCCAGCCCCGCCATCAGCACCAACCCTCCAAGAGGTTCCATACTTGAAGAACCCCCCCACCCTTGCCCTGTGCCTTGGACCTGGGCAAGGCTGAGAGAAGGAAGCAGCAGCACAACTCACAATCTGAGCTGGGGGGCGAGGGCTGTGGTCTCAGCAAGGCTCCTGTCCTCGCCCCGCCCTGCCCCGCCCCCACCTGTTCAGAAGAGGCTCTCGAGGCCTCTCACGTGACTTGGAAACTCCTGGACGAACTCCATTCTAACTTATTTTGACATGTATACGAACCAACTGTTTTAGAAATTCCACTCGTGCAAAGCCCTACTGTGTTTTTATGTTCCTGTTTCAAAGAGAAGTTTACTTAGCAATAATTATAAATAAATGAATATTCTTTAGTGAGGTGACTGCGAGTGCTTCTTTCCATGGTTCTGGGGATACCTGATCCTCACCCCTTCCCCAGAAGGAACCCCCAGCAAGTACTTCATTCTCCAGGGGGCCCAGAGGAGCGCGTGACCGTCCTTCCCACTAGAATGGCTACCTGCAGGGCTCTGAGCCCATGAGAACGGGGTGCCAGCCAAGACCCCAGAACTCCTACCACTTGTAGAGAAAAGCCGCTTTCCCACCAACAGGCCTCTAGGACAGAAGCCAGCTCCTGGTGCCAGACTGGGCTTCAGAGGCTGTGTCTTCTGGGGAGCTGCCAGCCCTTGGCTGTTTGCTGATGGGAAGAAGGGTCAGAAACCTTGAACTTCCCCCAGGAGCTGGTCCGGGCACATCCAGCATGCCAGCCTTTCCTCCAGCCCTGGGAGTCCAGTGATGACTGGGAAAGAATGGGCTTAAAACACCTCCATGGAGGTGGGCGCCTAGAAGCCCATCTCAAAGCTTCCAGGTATCGGGTTTCAGGAGCCTACAAGAGCCTGCCCGAATTTGGGAACCGGACTTCGGGTTGCCAAGTGTTTATTTTTTTCCAAGTCAAGACCTGAGACCAGGTACGGGCTTCCCAGGTGGTGTAGTAGTGAAGAATCCGCCTGCCGATACAGGAGACGCGGGTTTGATCCCTGGGTCAGGAGGAGGAAGTGGCAACCCACTCCCAACATTCTTTCCTGGGAAATCCCATGGACGAGGAACCTGGCAGGCTACAGTCCATGGGGTCACAGAGAGTCGGACACAACTGAGCACAAGACTGCCCTTTGACAGTAAAGGGCCTGGGTACCATCCTGGTCAGGAACTAAGACCCCATAAGCCACATAGGACAGCAAAACAAAATGTCACAACTCTTCCCCAGGACGTTCAACACCAAAAGTAGAATATAATCCCCGCATAAAGCACAGCCCTTTAAACTGGATCTGTTTAGCTGTATTGCTTGCTTGCTTGCCAAGTCTCTTCAGTCTGACTCTCTGTGACCCTATGAACTGTAATCCACCAGGCTCCTCTGTCCATGGGATTTTCCAGGCGAGAATACTGAAGTGGGTTGCCATGCCCTTCTTCAGGGGATCTTCCTGACCCAGGGATCGAACCGCATCTCTTATATCTTCTGCATTGGCAGGCAGGTTCTTTACCACTAGCATGTGTAACAACTATAATCTTACTGTTCTAGTTTTGCCAAAGAATAGTGAAGAGGAGCCCAGTCTGGGACTCAGTGGCCTGGACCAACCACACGGGGGCCCCAGGCACACTCCCAGGCTCAAGCTCTAAGCAGCCGTGGGCAAGAGAACTGAGGAGGTTACTCTGTGGGACCTGTTTTGAGGACTGAGAAACAGGCAAATCAAGAGGTCTGGAGACGTTTAGAAGGTTAAAACCAACAATAACAAAATATTGTTGGTTAAAACCAACAATAACAACAACAACAAAACACAAAAAAGTATAACCGGAATCAACTGGGAAGTGATTACTCTCAAAAAGGAGAAGAGGCTATAGAAACCAGAACGTGCTGGGAAATTCCAGTGACCCCACCCCGACCCCAAGACCTGCTGCCCGGTCACCCCCACCCCCAAACCTGGCCCCTTGACTGAACAGAGGCCTGCAGCAGCCTGGGCGTCCCACTCCGCCCCTGCTGGAATCCACCAGCCCTTTGAAGGCCTCTGCCTCTTAAGCCCTGGCTGCCTCCTTCCCCTCAGGGACAAACACAGCAGACCTGTTTCGTGAAGAACTTTTTAGTAGCTAAATATGGCACCATGTGTTCCGAGGGCAATATAAATTACAGTATGCAAAACATACCACTGGCTGAGGTAAAACACACTGTTCCTGCCTCATGTCACCATGAGGGGAAACACACAGATACTTTTAAAAACTTCTTGCTTATAAAAAAGAAAGTCCCCTAGAAAGGCCTCCTAACAGGGGCTAAGAGGCTCACCCTCCGCCGCAGGGCGTGTCAGTCGGGGGGGCAGGGGGACCCTTGGCTGCCCGCTCGCCTCCGGCCCGGCCAGCTCAGCAGCTGGCAGCATCCCTGGCCCGCTACTGCTGGCCCAGAGCTTTGTCCAGGTTGCTCTTGATGGTGTCCAGGAAGTCCGAGGTGTTCAGGAAGTGCTCGTTCAGCTTCACACTGTCCAGAGAGCACGTGCATGTAAGGGTGGTTCTGGCAGGACCCGCCTCACCCCGCCCCATCCAGGGCAGCATCCAGACTGTAGGCCTCTCGAGCAGTTGTGGCGAGGGCTACAGGCCAGAGGCTACTACCTGGAGCCCTCTGTCAAGAGGCCACAACGGGACTTCCCTGGTTGTGCAGTGGTTAAGAATCTGCACTTCCACTGCAGGGGGCACAGGTTCGATCCCTGGTCGGGGAGCTAAGATCCTACATGCAGCATGGTGTGGGCAAAAAAAGCGGGGGGGGGGGGCGGAGGGGGCCACAGCAAACTTAGCAGGAACCCAGCGAGGCCTGGCTTTGCTTTTCCAGTTACAACAGGCAGCTCAGTACAAGCTCTTCTGAGAGAAGCCGGGAGATGGTTGCGGCAGGGATTGGAAGGTTCTGAGCAGCTGGCCTAGGGATAGGGACCCATTCACTGGGCCTGGTGTGGGGAGGCTAGTCCCAGCCATCACTCAGGGCCATGGACCTGTCCTGTCCCCTGGCAGCCAAGCTGACTTAGGAAGAAGCCTCTACAAGGGACCCTGGGCTACGTTCCACCCGACCCTGAGCCCCCGGAAGCCCAGCCCTGCCTGGACCCCAGGCCACTCACTTGCTGAGGCCGTGGATGCAGCCTGCCAGGTCCTTGGTCATGGCTCCACTCTCCACCGTCTCGACACACACCTTCTCCAGGGTCTGGGCGAACCTGCAGGGCAGAGGGCAGAGTGAGACCCCAGCTGTGTGGAGCCGGGGCCCAGAACCTACCCAGGACCAACTCACTTGATGAGGTCCTGGTTCCCGTCCAACTTGCCCCGGTGTTCCAGGCCACGCGTCCAAGCAAAGATGCTGGCGATGGGGTTGGTGCTAGTTGGCCGGCCCTAGGGGAAGAGGTCACAGGGCGATGAAGAGCCAAGCAGCCAATGAAAAGGCCCCCTGGACACAGCTGCCCCCCTCTAGACTGACAGGACCAGGCCCATGCTCCCCGCCCTCAGGGCCAGCGGGCTCAAGCTCCAGGGATGGAGGGGCACGCGGCCACTGCCCTGGCACACTCACCTTCTGGTGCTCCCGATAGTGGCGGGTGACTGTGCCATGAGCAGCCTCAGCCTCAATGGTCTTCCCATCTGGGCAGACCAGCACAGATGTCATCAGACCAAGGGAGCCAAAGCCTGGAGAGCAGGATGACCCCCCTGAGTGCCAGCACCTCTCCTCAGGCACTGGTGCTGGGTCTCCAGGACCCAGCACAGGGCAAGTGGCACTCAGAGGTGGTTCTCATCTGCCCGCTGGCATACATCTACATCCCCTACCTCCAGGTGCCCCAGAATCTATGGCCCCCCCCAAGGGCACAAGACCCATCCCCCCCGCCAAAGTTCTACCCACCCACCCTGGCAGGTGACCAAGAGGCTCATTCAAGCAGGAAGAATAAAGCCTGTGGCCAGCTATTTTAGTCATCACTTTATCTGCTCTTTTGAGTATGTGGGTGTTAGTTGCTCAGTCATGTCCGACTCTTCGTAACCCCATAGGCTGTATAGCCCGCCAGGCTCCTCTGTCCATGGAATTCTCCAGGCAAGAATACTGGAATGGGTTGCCATGCCCTCCTCCAGGGGATCTTGCCAACCCAGGGATCAAACCGAGGTCTTCCAAGTTGCAGGAGGTTCTTTACTGTTTGAGCCACCCAGGAAGCTCTCTGTTCTTTTAGGCCACTCGAAAGTTTTACAATTTGGGACTTTCCTGGTGGTCCAGTGGATAAAACTCATCACTCACAATGCAGGGGGCATAGGTTCGATCCCCGGTCAGAGACCTAGATCCCACATGACGAAAGTAAAGATCCCAAAGGGCAGCAACAAAGATCAAAGATCCCATAAGCCACAACAAAGACCTGGCACAGTCAAATAAACAATAAATATTTAAAAATTTTAAAAAAGCTTTGTGATCTACTTCCAAATTTTTTCAAATCCATATGTCAACGTTTACTATGGCCAAGATCTCCTGCGCTTCAAAAGCAACCCACAGCACCATAATAAGAACTGCAAATGCCCAAAAAAGAAAAAGTGGGCAACTTCTAGAGGGAAATTATTTGCCCAAGAATTTTTGCTGTTGGGGTAGAGAAAGGGGGATCCCTTCTCCATTTTCACCTGGGACCTTCACACTCACTAGTTCTTACATACTTCATGCCTTTCTCTTGTGTGCTAGGGCTTGTCATCCTTCCATCCTAGATAGAAATTGTTTCAGTGAGAGGATCACACTGAACCTTTAAAAATAAAACAAAGGTTTTTATGAAGCATGGGTACCCTCTGCCTTTTCACTGCAGCCTGATGTGGGCTTCACTTTTTCCTTATGGGAGCCAGACCTCACCCCTCTCTCTCACACAGCCTGGTTTCTCTTCCACTCCCTGTGCATACATGTTGCCTCTTCCCACTATCTTTCTTGCTCTCAGTCCCAATAAGATGAATGCATGTGTGCGTGGTCAGTCATATCTGTTTGTGACTCCATGAACTGTAGCCCACCAGGCTCCTCTGTCCATGGGATTCTCAGGCAAGAATACTGAAGTGAGTTGCCATTTCCTTCTCCAGAGGATCTTCTTAGACCAGGGATCGAACCCTCATCTCCTGCATTGGCAGGCAGATTCTTTACCACTGAATGACCTGGGAAGCCCCTCGTTCCCATTACAACTGGGTTATTTCATTCTGTTCCTCCCTAACGGCTTCACCCAGGCTTTCTGCTGCAACTCAGCTTGTCTTTTAGAATGCTTTAGGGCTGGGGGGTCTGCCATCATCCCCCAATATTCTCCTATATCCGAAAGGTTTACTGTGCAAAACAAATTATTTGCAATTTAAAGAGCATCTGGTTGTACTGGGTTGGCTAAAAACTTGGCCAAAGATGTTACAAAAAAACCTGAACAAACTTTTCGGTCAACTGAATACTTACTCCCGTTTTCCTACTAGAGCCAAATCTCGTCCAAATCTGGAGCCAAGCAGAGTCACCTGGCCCTTCCATGTGCTGTGCTGTGCTAAGTCACTTCAGCTGTGTCTGACTCCTTGTGACCCCATGAACTGTAGCCCACCAGGCTCCTCTCTCCATGGGATTCTCCAGGCAAGAATACTGGAGTAGGCTGCCATGCCCTCCTCCAGGGGATCTTCCCAACCCAGGGATTGAACCCGTGTCTCTTGAGTCTCCTGCATGGACAGGAACATCTCCTGCACGGATAGGTCCTTTCATGGATGGGAACAACCTCAGGGCTGACAAGCCTGGCCTTTAGGATGTAAATTGCTGGGTACTACTTCCTCTGGAACGGCAGCCTTAGCGATACCCCAGTCCAAACGTAACAGATGACCCTTCCTCACTCAGACACCAGAAAGCCCCTGGTCCATGCGTCTACAGCAGATCCTGTTATGAGCAGGCAAGCCCCAGTCCTGCTGCTCCACTGGAGCAGTTTCCTCCCAAAAGGATGTGCGAACCAGCGCCCCCACTCTCGGCCCACCCTCTCTCCCAGCAAGGAAAAACCGATGGTCCACCCCCCATCCCCGCGGGAAGCGTACCCTGGGCCAGGATGTCCGACTGCACGTCTCCGTCATAGTTCTTGCAGGCCCACACAAAGCCGCCCGAAGACTTGAGGACCTGAGCCACCATGTCATCAATGAGCCGGTGCTCATACCAGATCTTATGTTTGTCGAACTCAGTCTTGTAGTGCCTGGGAGCAAAGGGGCTTGTGGTGAGAAGAGGGCAGGAGGCTGACAGGTTGGGGAATCCCTCCGTGAGCCTCAGGGCCAAGACAGACACACTGGGACAGCCTCCCCGGGTGGGTAAGGGCTGAGGGGACCAGGAAGGAGGGTCATGGACTCCTTGGGAAACAGTAAAGGGAGAAGCCATTACTTCTCAAAGATGGCCTGAAAGATGTCCTTGAAGCGCCCGTCGTAGGCTTTTAGGATGGTGTTCTTCGTGCTCATGTAGAGCGGCCACTTCTTCTGGATGGCATACTGGAAGCAGCTGTGTGCAAAACCTGAGATGGACTACAGAGAGAGAGAGATCCCTGGAGTGGTCCCCCAGGGCAGGCCCAGCCTTAGGAACCGCATTCCCCTCCCCGCACTCGACCCAGGCAGTCAGGGTTCACCCAGCCCCTCTGCAGTGAGGATTCCATGGACAGAGGAGCCTGGCAGGCTACAGACACGGAGAGTCAGACACGACTGAGCGACTAACACTTTCACTTTTTCTTTTCCTGGAGTGAGCATCTGCTGCTGCTGCTGGCCCAGCACCCTACTCCCAATTACTGGGAGGAAGCAGACACCCAGCTTTACTTGGGAAAGCTACCACCTTCCCCGTTTCTTAAACCATATGGCTAGGGTGGGGCCATGGCCTCAGCCCACCTGCTCGTCTCTTCTGTGTCCCGGGCCTTCATGATTGGCTGGGAGAGGGCCACGTGACCCAGGCCATCTACTTTTGCTGGAACCAGGAGCCAAAAAGGCTCTTTTCTGCTAGGATAGCCAGGCTGACAGGGATAAGCCCGGAGCCAGTGTTAGCCATTTCTTCATGGCCTAAGAATGAGGCCAACCACAGAGGAAAAGAAAGCCAAGAAATGGGGGTAGGGAGGGAAAGAAGCGGTTACCCAGTTTGCTGTAAACCAAGAGCTGACAACCAGTATGCCCCAAGACGCACCCGAGAATGAGCACAGGATGCTAGGCATGCCATAGGGCCCCCTAAACACACTTAAAGTTGGATTTGGTCTCAGGCCTCAGACCTTCAGGCCACCAACACAGGAAGAGTCAGAACCACCAACCCGATGTGGCTAGAGACAGAGACACAGGCGGGGGAGGGAGCCCAGGAGCCACTGCTCACCTCATCCGTGTTGTACATGCCCATGCCCACGCCACCAGCAGGAAAGTTGTACACCTCCCATTCCTTAGGGCCGCTGCCATCCTTCGGGGTGAAGACCACCTTGAATGTGCCAGCCCGGTCAACCACAAAGTCTGTGGCCTTGTACTGCAGAGACGAGAAGATGGCTCAGGCCCAGGGCTCCAGCTAGGGGCGGGGTGTCCCAGGCCCTTGGAGCCCCACTCCCACCGGGGCCAACCTGGTCGCCGTGGGCATGCCTGCCAATGGTGATGGGCTTGGTCCAGCCAGGGACGAGACGCGGGATGTTCTTACAGATGATGGGCTCCCGGAAGACAGTTCCCCCGAGGATGTTCCGGATGGTTCCATTGGGGCTCTTCCACATCTTCTTCAGCTTGAACTCTATGAGGACAAAGATGAAGTGGCCCCACTGCAGCCCCCACCTTTCAACCAGGATCTGAACCCTAAGCAAGAATGTAGCTAGAAGGGGGCCCCTAAAACCACCCTGCGGAAGCAGCAGAGTCAAGAGTGGCCAAGGGCACTCCTGAATAAGATTTCTTAGCTTCAAGATCCAGCCGTGCCACCTCAAGCAACTGCCCATAAAACGGCACTGTTGATAAAACACCTGGCCTTATGGGTTGTTGTGAGACTTAAATGCATGTTATGTGTAAAGTGCCCAGAACAGTGGCTGGCACATGGTAAGTGCTCTGTCGGCCGTTATCACTGCCACTTCACACTGGGACGGAGCTCAGTCTGATGGACCTGGCAACACACAGCCTCAGTCCAGACGCTGCGGTTCCAGCCCCACCCGCCAGGTTCAGCCTAAATTACTAAGACGGTGACCCTTTAATTCCTTGTCCCAACCCCCACTGCCCCAGCCGCCCCACCCCCACCCCCTCGCACCTTCCACACGGGCCTCATCGGGGGTGATGGTGGCACACTTCACAGCCACACTGTACTTCTGGGTGGCCAACGCGGAGTCGATGGTGACCTGATCATTGGTCTGGTCACGGTTCGGGAGCCCCAGGTCGAAATACTTGAGCTGGACGTCCACGTGGGGCAGGATGAGCTAGAGACAGATGGCCGGGGCCAGGCATCAGCCCAGAATGACAGGATTCAGAGGCACGTGGGGACACCCCATCCGGGAAGGGAAGAGGAAAGACCTAGGAGGGCTGGCCAAAGCCGGCAGGAGGCTGGGGCTCTGGAGAGAGGCTGGCAGACCAGGCTGCAGCGCCTTGGAGGGCTCTTCCCCAGCGTGGACCACATAAAACACCACCGATCCCCCATGGTGGCCCATCAACTCAGCCAAACCCCACTCCAAACACATCCAGAGTTCTCCCAATAGTGGGTTCCCCCTCCTTCCCCATTCAGAAGTGGCCATTCTCAACCTTGTTCTTGGGGACAGACACACAGGCGGGGGTCTTCACATGGACCGTGTGTTCCCCCGGGCAGACCCAGCCCACGAGACCCTGGAGAAGTCAAGCATCCGCCCTGGGAACCGCCTGCAGTGATGGCTCAAACACATCACAGTTCCCAAGAGACACACGCCACGACTCACGGTGACATCCCCAGACCGCTAAGGGAAGGTTCATGATCCCTGTTCATCTTTCACTCCCTCAAGGGAGTGCACCGGCATGCAGGGGATCAAGACAACATACTCGACTGTACTTCAATAAAAAATAAATTAGAAACAAAGAAGAAAGTCCTGAAGGATAAGTCAACCTGTGCCAGCTCTCTGAAAGGAGATAAATATTCACCCTGCAACACAGATCGAATTCCTCCAGGGTGTTTCTTGTATTTCCTGTATCTGCATATATGTGTTAATTAATCTGAAGAGTAAAACAAAAGCTTAATTCAGCCAAAAAAAAAAAAAAGACATGATATGTGACTAGGTTTAATCACATTCTTTAAAATGCTTTAACCTTGGTATAAGACACAGATGGCTGAGGACAGTACCGTCCCTGATCTAAGCCCACACACCACAACTATTGAGCCTGCACCATAGCTAAAGTCCATAGGCTGAAACGAAAAATTCCTCCATGATACAGTGAGGACCTGACATAGCCAAATAAATAAGTATTTTAAAAAATAATAAGAGCAGGGACTCCCCCAATGATCCAGTGGTTGAGGACCTGCCTTCCAATGCAGAGGATGTGGGTTCAATCCCTGGTTTGGGAAATAAGATCCCACACGCTGTGGAACTGAGCCCGAGAGCCACAACTAAGACCCAATGCAGCCAAATAAATAAATATTTAAAAAACAAATAAAATAACAAGGCCCATGAGTGGTCTGGACATGACAGAAGAGTGGGCGGAAGGAGACAAACAGGGTGCTCCTGCCCACCAGGGTGATGGGTGAACCCCGGGGACCTGAAGCAGGGCTCAGGAGACAGGAGCTGGGACTGATCACTGAGCCCGGCCGGCCACGTGCACGGCTGCCCACTTTGGGACGGATCTACCTTCTCCTTGATGAACTGCCAGATAATACGGGTCATCTCATCGCCATCCATCTCCACCACTGGCTTCGCCACCTTGATCCTCTTGTCGGCATCTAGAACCAGACACAGGCACAGCATATCACAGCCGTGAGAAGAGGTTGGTGGGAGAGCCCTTCTCCTGGCCAGACCCACCCTTCACCCCACAGGGAGGAGTGTCAGCCGGGTCCCACTGCCCAGGGCTCACTCCCCCTCCTGCAGAAGCAGCACGTGAATTATGTGCAGCCAGATGACTCACTCTACAAAGATGTGCAAACAGATTTTTTTTTTAAATCTAAAAAGGAAGAAAAATGAGACCCAGGGAGCATGGCTTGTGTCAGGGTCAGGATAGATCCCAGGGTCTTGGCTCAAGCATAGCCTCTGGATGCCCCTGTGGGCCAGATGGAGAGAAGCAGAAAGCAAAAACAGGCTCCAAATATTTCTTCCCCCAGGGAATGGCTGGCACTGCTCCAGCTCCTCCCAAGGTGCAGCGGGGACTTTGGACCTTCAGCATGTCTGGTCTAAAGTGGCCCTGCAGAAACCTGTTGGACCTGTTGGGCTGTTGTAGAGCTAGCTCGCTTAATTTTCAGATGCATCTTCTGTGAGTTAATGTGATGAGATCCAATCAATTTCTTTTAATGTACTTGTTGTTCAGTCGCTCAGTCGTGTCCAACACTTTGGGATCCCGTGGACTGTTGCCTGCCAGGCACCTTTGTCCATGCATGGAATCCTCCAGGCAAGAATACTGGAGCAGGTTGCCATTTCCTTCTCCAGAGGATCTTCCTGACCCAGGGATCGAACCCATGTCTCTTTCTCGGCAGGTGGAATCTTCACCACTGAGCTACCAGGGGAAAACCTTTAAACGTACTAAAAGCTACTGTAATCAGAATCCCTAAAGAGAGGTCCATTTGGGGCCAATCCTAAAGGTTTCAGCCTCAGCCTGGGCTCCACTCAAGCTCTGAGCTTCAGGCACAGCAGCCTGTGGACACCACACCTCAGTGGGGGAGTTCGATGTCAAGACCACAACAGGCAGCCCTCCCAGCTGTGTATGCAAATGTCAAACCCTCAGAGACCACAGGGCCCACTTATTCACAACCAGGTGTCAAGGGTAAATGGCCCTTCCTGAAACACCTCAACACAACAGTGCCTATCCTTAAAGAGTGAGGAAAGGAAAACCAGCTCAGATGGTAAAGAATCCACCTGTCAGGCAGGAGACCCGGGTTCGATCCCTGGGTTGGGAAGATGCCCTGGAGAAGGGAAAGGCAACCGACTCCAGTATTTTTGCCCGGAGAATCCCATGGACAGAGGAGCTTGGTGGGCTACAGTCCATGGGGTCACAAAGAGTCGGACACGACTTGAGCGACTAATCCTGTCACTATCACCATTGATAACAGAGAGAGCAAGAGGCATTATTATCAAAGTCAAGTGTCAGCCTTCCTCAAAGCAGCTGCCCAAAGGAGCAGGGAACAGGGATCGGAGGTGTGAGCCACAGCAGCAGAGGCTCATTTTGTGTGTGGGTGGGTCATTTTGCAGTGGGTCTTTTTTTTTTCTTTTTTTTTTTAATGCTGTTTGGTGACCAAGGCTTAAAAAACAGGCCCTTAAAAAAAAAACAAAAACAGGCCCTTTCAACAACAACAAACCTGATTAATAAAGGGGCAAAGGACTTGAATAGCTATTTCTCAAAAAACTGTCAATAAGCTCATAAAAATATGTTCAACATCACTAATCATTAGGGAAATGCAAAACCACAATGAGATACCACCTCATACCCCTTAAGATAGCTACTATCAAAACAGAAACAAAAGCCATAAAGTAGCAAGTGTTGATGAGGATATAAAGAAAATGGAACTCGTGTACACTGCTAGTGAGAATGGAAAATGGTGGGGCCACGATGGGAAACAGTATGACAGTTCCTCAAAACATTTTTTAAATAACTAAAAGCCAGGTCTCAAAAACTTATCTATATAACCATGTTCACAACAGAATTATTCACAATAGCCAAGAGGTGGAAGCAACCTAAGTGTCCATCAACAGATGAATGGAGAAATAGAGTGTGATATGAACATTCAAGAGGAAAAAAGAACCTTTTGGAAACTAATCCAGGATGTTTAAGGAAAAACGTTCCACCAAAAAGTTAAACTATGTCCATGATTCTGAGTTTTTTCCAAAACTGGGCCCCACACCACTTAAACATGGATGTACTTGCTTTCAAACTAAAAAAGGATGTGCTTCCAAGTTTCAGGGATGGATCTGGCCCTACCTCAATAGGCTTTGCCACTAGTTCTTTTGTTTCAAATTCCACAAAGGTAAATTCCCTTTGGATCAGACTTACAATGTGTGTACTTATATAAATAACATCACCACCTTTCCCAAATACTTGTTTTTGAGAAGATCTTTGATTTAAAAAGCTTCTCTATTGGAATGACTAAAGAAGATGTGGTACATATATACAGTGGAATATTACTCAGCCATTAAAAAGAATGAAATAATGCCTTTTGCAGCAACATGGATGTACCTAGACAGTGTCATACTGAGTGAAGCAAGTCAGACAGAGAAAGAAAAACATTATATGACATCCCTTATATGTGAAATCTAAACAACACTGTCAATCAGCTATATCCCAATACAAAACAAAAAGTTTTTTTTAAGTTACTTTATTTCTAATTACATGCATTATTACTTTTGGAAATTACAATGCAGCTAGTAACAGAGACTTATTTAACCCATTAAGTCAAACTGGGGACCTCATAAACTGTAACTCCTACAACAATTCTCCATAAGTATATGACAAATGCCTGCTCCTATGGAAACTTTATGTATTACTCAAATACTTTTTCAATCCAGCTGTGACTAACATTTTTGTGAAGTAACTCATAATAAATTAGAAACAGTATTAAGTATGTAAGGATTTAATAACTATATCACCTAACCTTTTCACAATTCCTATACCTGACTCCAAAGAACAATAAATTTTAATCTGAATATTTTTTAAAATGTGCTATATACAGACAATGAAAGCCTATTCAGCCTTAAAAAGGAAGGAATGCTGACATGTGTTAAACATGGAAAAAACTTGAGGAATTCTGCTAAGTGAAACAAGACAGTCACACAAAACACAAATATTGTCTGATTCTACTTACATGAGGTAACTAGAGTGGTCAGAACTACAGAAACAGAAAGTAGAATGGTGGTTACCAGGGGCTGGGGGGAGGAAAGGAAGCAGAGTTGTTTAATGGGTACCGAGTTTCAGTTTTGCAAGATGAAAAAGCTGTGGAAACTGCTGAACAACAAGGTGAATGTATTTTACTCCTCTGAACTGCACATATAAAAATGGTTAAGGTGGAAATTTTTGTTATGCAGTTTTACCACCATAAAAAATAAGAAATTAAAAAATGCTTTAATGCCTAATTTAAACCAGTTTTAAAAAACAACAACAACAGAAGATTATACATAAAAATCCAGTCCCTCTTAAAGAAAGAGTCACTTCATCCCACTGAGCCCCTGCTCGCCCACAGGAAGAAGGACAGGCTGATAGAGGTCAGCCTCACCCTCCATCCCAGCCCTGCCACATGCCCTCCAGAGCACCCCAAGGCATCGGAGTTTGAAAGCTTGCCTATTGTTTAGCCACTATGGTGGAGACAACCCCACCATCTGCCTCTCTCTGGGAGACAGGTGGTGACAGGTGACCTGAAATCCAAGTAACAGTCACCATGAAATCTTCAGACGACCTGCTGCACAAACACTGTCCCCTTGGGCCGAGTGTGGGATGGAATTACACCAGTCCCAAGAGGTCCGTTAGGCCAGCTCCCAGCCGGGGAACATGGAGTAAGGATTTCAAAACCCAGCCCCGGTTTCAGGATCTTCTTGCTTCTGGAGTAAAGAGATCTAGCTTCCAGGCTAAAGGGTACTTCCAAGACAGGCACACCCCTCGCCGCCCTCTGTCTATGTAACTGGTTTCACCACATTCCCACCCACACTCCTGTCAGCAGAGAGACCTCGTAGAATGTGGGGGGAAGCCCCCAATTCCTGAGGGTTCAAGAAGGCAGTGCAGCAATTCCAAAAGAGGCTCTAGCATTTTCTTTGGTGTCATTCTTCACGACTCCCTTTCTCCGGCATCCACATCCAAACCATCACAAACATTCTACTGGCTCTTCCTACAAAATAAGCCCAGAATCCAACCACCACCAAGGTCCAAGCCGCCCTCCTACCAGGTCCCTGATGATAGCAATGCTCCTGGTAAAATGTAAATCAAGTTACACTCCTCTCAAAGCCCTGAAAAGCCTCTTCTTTCACTCAGAAAAGGCCAAAATCCTCCAAAATGGCCTACAAGTCCCCCCCCCCCAACACCCACAGCCTGACCTCATCTCCCATCGCGCACTCTGAGCCAGCCTGACTTTCTGCTTCTCCAACAAGCAAAGGTGCCCTCCTGCATTATGGCCTTGGCGTCGACATTCCCTCTTCCCCTGAACACTAAAGGGCCTGTATTCATACCCTTATTCCCTCAGAACAGTAAGTCCCCTACGTATGAACCTTCAAGATGCAAACTTTCAAAGATGCGAACTTGCATCTGGTTCCAGAAGGAACTGGAATCCATGCCACCAGCATCAGGCGTGAGTGACACTGCAGCTTGCCCTCCGTCTCCTGTGGCTGACGACCCTTCCGCTCTACCATCTCCCGCCTCCAGTCAGCAACTCTTCTTGCCTGTTCACTCGATGCCAGCACCTGTATGCAGTGTTGTACTGTACTCCTGTACTTTTCAAGGCACTGTTCTGTACGATTAAAAATGTTTTTCTTTTTTATGGGCTATTTATGTGAAAAGTATTATAAACCTATTACAGTACAGTACTAAATAGCCCATTGTGTTAGCTGGGTACCTAGGCTAACTTTGTTGGACTTACGAACAAATGGGTCTTAGGAACGTACTCTCCTAACAGAACTAGGTCATATGTAGGGGACTTACTATCCTTCATTCACTGGGGTCTTATCTGGCAGCACTACCCAAACCTTCACCCATATCTTTCTCCCTTCTTTGTTCTCCTTAGCTCTTGTCACCATACATCACACTAGCCAACTTCTACCGTGTCTGTCCTTCCTCACATTAGAATTTAAGCTCCATAAGGACAGAAATCTTTGTCCCTTATGCCCAGCTCTGTCCCCAGAGTGTCCCTGGCACAGTGCCTGGCACATAGTAGAAGCACAATATTTGCTGAAGTCCATGAATGAATGTCAAGCTACGGTCAATTCAGTCTGGTCAGGGCTGCCCTGTCATAACCTCCTCTTTGGATAGAAAGTTACTCCATCCCCTCCCCCATCCCGGGATGCATTACCACAGAGGCCAGTGAGTTCTCACCACGAAATGGCACCAGACCATCACGAGTGTACTTGGGTGGCCTCTCTGCCAGGTAATGGGCCGGAGTAACTCACTATTTATCGTGTGTTAATATTTGCCATCTGTTGGCATTTTAAACATGGGTTTACAGTAGTGTAAACTCCAGAGCAAGTCACAAGGCTGACTTCCAGTAATCAGAGAGCAATTTCCAACACCCCATCCTGGAATCAGTAAAAGAGGCCACAGCTTTCCATAAAGGATCTGGGGGGCAGGCCCCAGGCCCATCCAGAAGTTTTTCTTCAAAACCTACAGGGCCGAAACATGACCACCCAAAACACCCCTGATGGGGTACGTGCGTGCTAAGTCGCTGCAGTGTGTCCAACTCTCAGCAACCTCATGGATGCCAAGCTCCTCTGTCCATGGGCTTCTTCAGGCAAGAATACTGGAGTGGGTTGCCATGCCCTCCTCAGGGGATCTTCCCAACCCAGGGCCTCAACCTGCATGTCTTATGTCTCCTGCATTGGCAGACGGTTAATTTACCCCTAGCGCCACATCTGATGGGGTAGCTACGGTCTTATCTGATGCAGTTGAAACAAGGCTCAGTGGAGAACACATAAGAAGACTACTGATAGGTCTGCACAATGTTGAACAACTGTTAAATAATTTCCTCTGATCTAAAAGGGCAAACAAGTCACCAAGATCTGAAGCAGGTCACGGAGATCTTAAAAGTTGAGGAACGGGGGGTGAGAAAAGTAAGAAGTTCCCAGGCTAGAAGCGGAGAGAAGGAAGGCCAGATAAAGATCCCACTGAGCAGTTGAGAAGAGCCCACCCTCACTTCCCCAGGCTAACTTATCAGAACCACCACCAGCAGTCACAGGAGGCCTGTGAATTGCAAAACTAGAAAGAGACACGTGTGGGAATTACCCGGCAGCAAAAACACAGGAGTATTTTAGCCAAAGCATATTCTTTTCTTGTCATCAAGGGGAATGCCGAGTATTCTGTCTCCAGCGGCGTTGCCAAGTAACAAGCGAACAGAGGTCACAACTGTACCGTCGCATGCATGTCCAACTCAAACACCAGGCTTTCTCCTCATTAATAACCAAACCCCTCTTAGGGGCTTCTGAAAGGACCTGCCACTGGCTGCTCTTTTTATGTGTTACCAAAATTCAGGCCCCCAAAGGGGCTCTGTTTTCTTGTTTATGTGGGGTTTTTAAAATTTATTTATTTTTTATTTTTTTACCATATGTGCAGAAGAAAAAATAAAAGGGAGAAGTGGAGAATGTATCTAACTCCTGCCATATTTTGCTGAAGGTTGTGCCATATGGGAAACTTCGTCTGGGGTCTGGGGACACATGGAACCTTGAGTTGCAGGGCTGGCTCCTTAAAGACAAATTCCAAAAACAGAAATGCCCCTTTCTCCTTGAAAGGAGAGGGAGGGTGCCAGGGCCTTTCTAGGTTCTGGTCAGCTGCTCCCACACTAGGTTAAAGATTACCTACTCCAGCAGTAAGACCAAGTTGCCTGGGCTCCACCCCCTTGTCCTCACTCCAAGGGGCTGCGGGCCAGGTCAGGAGAGGGGTTTCCATGGCAACAGGCAGTAGCCAGGGCCAAGAGACCTACATTGTTCCCTGCCTTTGCAGCCAGCGATGGAGAGGCAGGGGGCAGACCAATGTCAGAGGGGCAAGACTGCCTTGGTAATGGTTCAGGCTACGTCCTGCTTATTATGCCCTGCTTATCAAGACTACTGTCCGTTTCGGGACTTCCTTGGTGGTCCAGTGGCTAAGACTCCGTGCTCCAAATACAGGGGGCCCGAGTTCGATCCCGGATAAGGGAACTAGAGTCCATATGCCGAAAAGAAGACCTGGCACGGCCAAACAAACAAACAAACAAAAAAAGACTTCTGCCTTCTCTCCGAAGTAGGGGACTAAGGGTACCACCGAAGTTATGACGCACGATTTGGGAAAGTGACATTTTGGCTCGGTTGCCAGGTCTCCTGGTCGGGTGAGCTAGGCAAGGCCCAGGAGTGGCGCGGGAGTCGGCTGGCGAGAAGAGGCCGGTCAAGCCAAGGACAGGCCCCAGGATGGAGCTTCAAGTGCGTCGTCAAGGAGAACGGGGGCATCCAAACAAAGCGAAAATAAAAAGGACGCTCCTCCAGCTGTAGCCTAAAAGGTTCCAAAAATAGCTGAAGAGCGCCTGACAGCGAGCAGGGATTACCTAGCGCCCAGGGTGAGAAGGAAGGGGAAGTGGCTGCCTCCTCCCTCCGCTTCTTTGTCTGATCAGGGACCGCGCCGCGACCCTCCCTCTCGCTGGGGAGCGGGCCAGGCGCTCCGGCACCCACTCGGTTGCTTTGTCTCCCTCCAAGAGCGCAGGGCGGACAGGATACCCCCCGAGCCCGGGATACCCCCAGAACTCCCTCCGGGAAAATCTGGGGACTCAGGGCTGCAAGGGCCGAGATCGCCCCGGGCCACCAGCTGCCACCTTTCTTCAAGTCTCCACCCCTGCGACTGGCACGGCCTGGAAGGTGCGGCAGGGGAGCAAGCCCCGTCCGCCGGCTCTTTGTGTGCCCTACCCCGCCGTCCCCGCCCGCGGGCGTCCCGGGTCGCGCTCGCTGGTCCCCGCCCGGAAGGCCGCCACGTCGCGGTGCCGGGCGCGCACCCCGCCCGGACCCTCCTCGTGGCACTCACAGTGGCGCCGCGGCTGCTCTTGCAAGTTGGGGGCTGTCAAGGCTGCTGGCGCCCAGGCCGACCCGGAGCCAGAGGCTCTGCAGAGCGAGCGTACGACCCGCAGGTAACCAGCCATCCAGAGCGGGTGGGCGGTCGGACTGGCGGATGAGCGAGCGAAGGAACTGGGGTAGGCGAGATTCGAGCGCCGGCTGTTGCTAGCGGCTGCCTGGCGGCGGGCTGCGGAGGCCTGAGAAGCGCGGGCCGCGCGGGCAGGGCCGGGGCGGGGCTGCCGGGGCCGCCACCCTATTGGGCCTCACCGGGAGGAGGCGGAGTCAGGCCGGGGGACTCCTCCCCCGGCCCTGCACCAGCCGAGGCTCCGCCCCCGCACCCGGCGCGCGGTTCGTTGGGCACCGGAGGAGACTCGGCTCCGCTGGAGCGAGAGGCGAGTGAGACCGTGATCCCTCTACGGGTAAAGGCCAGACTCTGGAACACGCCGAGACCGACTGGCACCCGGGAGCAGGGGATGGGAGCTGGAGGATTGGAGGAGCCGTGAGCGAGGAAAAACTCTCACTCCAGGATGCCCTATTTAAACCAGAGTGTCAATTGCTGACGCATCAGCTTAAGCCCCAAAAGGCAAATCTGAACAAACAACTGCATCCTTCGCATTGGCTGGGCTGAAATTTCCGGGCGCATTAACCAGTGCGGGTTCCGCGTTCTGGAACTAAGACCGTGGCCACCTCGGGTCTTCTCGGATTCGCTCTCAGATCCTCCTACGCGTTAGGTAGACTGACCCGACTCAAGAACTGGAGTCCCACTGCTTCAGCAGTTCAGGCTGCTAGTCCTCGAAGTTATTCAGCGTAGCCAGTCTGTACCCTCCCTTCCGAGATAACAGTAACAAGGCTGCCAGAAGACTTGGGTGAAAAAACAGAGGTTAAAGCCTTGGGACACACCCTGTACAACCACCGATGCTTATCAGGCAGTACTCAAGTAGCCTGGCTGAATAATCTACCAGGCACGTTTTTGCCTGCTTTCATAGGAAAGACAATACTGGTTGGTTCGGCAATAAACAACCAAAGTCTCAGCTGGGGCTGGGTTTTACTTAGAAACATCTGAGGCCAGCCCCCCACTTTCCCAGTTACACCAGCTCCCTCCAGTGCTAGCCATCTCTTTCTGCCCTGTGTTCCCAGCTCTCCCCTTCATTGCCTCAGAGTCAACATTGCCAGATGGAGCTGGGCCAGCAAAGTGACCTTGAATTACTGATTTCAAAGCTTCCTTCTCTCTGTCTCAGCCAGGCAGAGCTACCGCTTTGGCCCAGAGATCTACTAGACTGGGCCCAAAGCGGGGCTGTTTGGGAGCCCCCCAAAGTCTAAGGCCTTATTCAGAGGCCTGACTTTGAGCCAGCATGTCCCAGAATAACCCATCATCCCTTTTATTTTGTTCCCAATTCTCTTGCTCAAAACCCAAATAGAAAAAAACAAAAACCAACAAGCAGAGACCATGGAAGCCTCTGGTATTTGGCTTTCATGCCATCCTAGTAGCATCAGGTACAAAGGCCTCACTGTTTATACCTATAAACTGGGAGAATGCCCTCCCCCCCAGCGTCCCAAAAGATCAGATTCTGTTATGTACAACTTACCTGTACTGCCACTTCTGAAATAGTTATAAAGAAATTGCTCTCCACATTTTGTTTCTTTATATTGTGGACCAGGGTATCGGAGGCCTGGCAAGAGGCAGTACTAAAGCCTCAGCGTATTCCAGAGTCTGGCCCTTACCTGTAGAGGGATCAGGGTGGGAACACATGAGTCCTTTGCAAGCACAGCAGCAGCCCAGGATAGTCAAGGCAAAATATTCAGATTAAACTCCTCTCACTGCCCCACCTCCCAGGGCTCCAGTTCCATGGCAGCCTTGTCCATCCAGTATCCATTTGGTGAGGCAGTTGGTGTCAGCTATGTTGGTTCAGAGAGGTTAGGACACTTGCTCAAAAAGACACAGCTGGGAAGTAGCAGAACTCTTGTTCATACGCATGAAAGTGAAGTGTCAGTCATGTCTGACTCTGTGACCCTGAGGGTAAAGACTGAGTGATGTGGATTTTGTTTGCTAGGCTCCTCTGTGCATGGGATTCTCCAGGGAAGAATACTGGAGTGGATTGCCATTCCGTCTCAGGGATCAAACCTGGGTCTCCCGCATTACAGGTAGCTTCTTTACTGTCTGAGCCACCAGGGAAGCCAGTTCATATCTATATACCTGGCTAATAGCCCATCATTCTTTTAAGGAAAAAGAGGAAGAACCAGAGTCCCTGTTTATTGCACTTGTTTGGAATTCTTGGTGATGATAACTACTGGCCCTGAAGCCACCTCAGAGAAAGATGATGTTTCAAGGAAAGGTGCTTAGATCCTCCAGTTTGGGGTCAGCAAAATTGGAAACTCCCACCCTTGCATATTTTTAGTCAAACTTCAACTAAGTTGTTGAGTCTAGGTCATGTGCAAATTCCCTGTTTAGTTCAGTTCATTCACTCAGTCGTATCCGACTCTTTGCAATCCCATGGACTGCAGAATGCCAGGCTTCCCTGTCCATCACCAACTCCCAGAGTTTATTCAAACTCATGTCCATCGAGTCGGTGATGCCATCCAACCATCTCATCCTCTGTCGTCCCCTTCTCCCACTTTCAATCTTTCCCAGCATCAGGGTCATTTCAAATGAGTCACCTCTTTGCATCAGGTGGCCAAAGTATTGGAGTTTCAGCTTCAGCATCAGTCCTTCCAATGAACACTCAGAACTGATCTCCTTTAGGATGGACTGACTGGATCTCCTTGGGACTTTCAAGAGTTTTTCTCCAACACCACAGTTCAAAAGCATCAATTCTTCAGCACTCAGCTTTCTTCACAGTCCAACTCTCACATCCATACATGACTATTGGAAAAACCATAACCTTGACTAGATGGACCTTTGTTGGCAAAGTAATGTCTCTGCTTTTTAACATGCTGTCTAGGTTGGTCATAACTTTCCTTCCAAAGAGTAAGCGTCTTTTAATTTCATGGCCGCAGTCAACATCTGCAGTGATTTGGGAGCCTAAAAAAATAAAGTCTGACACTGTTTCCACTGTTTTCCCATCTATTTGCCATGAAATGATGGGACCCCATGCCATGATCTTAGTTTTCTGAATGTTGAGCTTTAAGCCAACTTTTTCACTCTCCTCTTTCACGTTCATCAAAAGGCTTTTTAGTTCCTCTTCACTTTCTGCCATAAGGGTAGTATCATCTGCATATCTGAGGTTATTGATATTTCTCCCGGCAATCTTGATTCCAGCCCAGCATTTCTCATGATGCACTCTGCATATAAGTTAAATAAGCAGGGTGACCATATACAGCCTTGACGTACTCCTTTTCCTATTTGGAACCATTCTGTTGTTCCATGTCCAGTTCTAACTGTTGCTTCTTGACCTGCATACAGATTTCTCAAGAGGCAGGTCGGGTGGTCTGATATTCCCATCTCTTGAAGAATTTTCCGGTTTGTGGTGATCCATACAGTCAAAGGCTTTGGCATGGTCAATAAAGCAGACATAGATGTTTTTCTAGAACTCTCTTGCTTTTTTGATGATCCAGCGGATGTTGGCAATTTGATCTCTGGTTTCTCTGCCTTTTCTAAAACCAGCTTGAACATCTGGAAGTTCATGGTAAAGCTAGTAAAGCATTACTTTACTAGCGTGTGAGATGAGTGCAATTGTGTGGTAGTTTGAGCATTCTTTGGGATTGCCTTTCTTAGGGATTGGAATGAAAACTGACCTTTTCCAGTCCTGTGGCCACTACTGAGTTTTCCAAATTTTCTGGCATATTGAATGCAGCACTTTCACAGCATCATCTTTTAGGATTTGAAATAACTCAACTGGAATTCCATCACCCCCACTAGCTTTGTTCCTAGTGATGCTTCCTAAGGCCCACTTGACTTCACATTCCAAGATGTCTGGCTCTAGGTGAATGATCACATCACCGTGATTATCTGGGTCGTGAAGATATTTTTTGTACAGTTCTTCTGTGTATTCTTGCCACCTCTTCTTAATATCTTCTGCTTCTGTTAGGTCCATACCATTTCTGTTCTTTATTGAGCCCATTTTTGCATGAAATGTTCCCTTGGTATCTCTAATTTTCTTGATGAGATCATTAGTCTTTCCTATTCTATTGTTTTCCTCTATTTCTTGGCACTGATCACTGAGGAAGGCTTTCTTATCTCTCCTTGCTATTCTCCACAGTTCCCTGTGGAGGCACAAAAATGCATATCATTCAGTCTTTACCCTTCAGTTCAGTTCAGTTCAGTTCAGTCACTCAGTCGTGTCCGACTCTTTGCGACCCCATGAATCGCAGCATGCCAGGCCTCCCTGTCCATCACAAACTCCCGGAGTTTACTCAAACTCATGCCCATAGAGTCGGTGATGCCATCTAGCCATCTCATCCTCTGTCATTCCCTTCTCCTCCTGCCCCCAATCCCTCCCAGCATCAGGGTCTTTTCCAATGAGTCAACTCGTCTCATGAGGTGACCACAGTATTGGAGTTTCAGCTTCAGCATGAGTCCCTCCAATGAACACCCAGAACTGATCTCCTTCAGGATGGACTGGTTGGATTTCCTTGCAGTCCAAGGGACTCTCAAGAGTCTTCTCCAACACTATAATTCAAAAGCATCAATTTTTCAGCGCTCAGCTTTCTTCACAGTCCAACTCTCACATCCATACGTGACCACTGGAAAAACCATAGCCTTGACCAGGTGGACCTTTGTTGGCAAAGTAATGTCTCTGCTTTTTAATATGCTATCTAGGTTGGTCATAACTTTCCTTCCAAGGAGTAAGCGTCTTTTAATTTCATGGCTGCAGTCACCATCTGCAGTGATTTTGAGCCCAAAAAAATAAAGCCTGTCACTGTTTCCACTGTCTCCCCATCTATTTTCCATGAACTGATGGAACCAGGTGCCATGACTTAGTTTTCTGAATGTTGAGCTTTAAGCCAACTTTTTCACTCTCCTCTTTCACTTTCATCAAGAGGCTTTTTAGTTCCTCTTCACTTTCTGCCATAAGGGTGGTGTCATCTGCATATCTGAGGTTATTGATATTTCTCCCGGCAATCTTAATTCCAGCTTGTGCTTCTTCCA